GCCAGATAACCCACAATTCTCTGAAACTGGCAACTGGCATGATGCACGGCGGACGACGCTCAATTATGGTAGAACGATAAAAGGCAATGTAAAATCATAGCTAAAACCGGAAACGACAAGACGCCGTTTTCGTTGCACTTATGAATTTACTGCGTCGCAAAATGAGATAATTGCAACTTTCTTGCCACACCGGTGCAAAGCCACTGCGATTTTTCCTGTCCTTACCGCCGTGCCACACGGTCATTCGTGTTTTACTACATCTGTGTTTTTCGGCACGCCCGAGCGCTCTAGGTCACGTGAGCTGAGGGGCGCGGCTGTATTTCGTGTTTTTATCCGATCCCCGTTCGCCGCCACTGCGTCGCTTTGAGGTGAAGCCGTCACGCGTGTCGACAGGGGCGGGTTCGTCGCGCGCTTTCAAAACACGGGGCCCGAGTAGGACGGGGTGCGCTCAATCACAGGTTGCGGGAACGATAATGGCCCTGCTCCTTTCACCAAAACATTCGCTCCAGTGCCTGGCATTACATGAGCGCAGTCACGACCACATCAATGGCCATTGTAGAGGGCCAGCCGTTGACTATTAATCGAGTGAATCGCATGAGTTGCCGGATAAATCGGACTACTCCTGTCATGTCCGTCGAGCGGAGGCTTTTTCCAGGCTCGCGCTGTCACATCGTTCGCTCTGTAAGAGTCAAATTGTTCAGGACGTCATTGCGGCACTGGCACCAGCATCAGTCTAGAACTCTAGATGCATGGGTGGACGTGCCGGCCCACCTGGAAACGGAGAGCTCCCGTTGGTACCAGCGCCAGTGCCGGCTTTCGATGCGTTCGGCCCATGCGTCGAATGTGGCAGCTTTCCGTGTCACCTTGTCACATCACATTGTCACATTGTCATGTCGTGTCACACCACGCTGACAAAGTGTCAGCATTACCAGTTTTGCCACCAGCAGTAGCACCGGCTCGGGTTCAAGCTGTAGCTGCCGGTATACGATGCCACCAGAACCCTCGAGTCTACTCAAATGCACCTCGGGCTTACTCAACTTCTTGCCAAGCGCTGGCATGGTGCCTGTGTATGTGTGCCTGACGGCAGCAGCCAGGCGTGTGACAACAGCACAGCTGGTGGTGTCGTTTGGGAATAGGAAATTCGCCTGGGAAATAGGCGGTGGTCAAGAACCTTGAAATCCGATATCAAAATCTACGACCCACTCTTCCATTGGTCTCCTTTCTGAGCGGCTGCTGCCCAGCCCTCTCTCCCGCCCGACACTGTCCGTGTCTCATCGTGTGCACTGCAGAATGTTATCAAAGGAGTTGATAACAACCGACGTTACGGGACCGACGTTACGCCGTAAAATTGGTGTTGTTCGCTGGTTTTATTGTTAGTACGTATCGTGGCTTTGATAAGTCGAAAACATGTTTATGCCTTTGCGTGTTTTGTTTTTCGATATTTTTATCATTTTCCAGCTCTCACTTTTTCATTATGTAACAAATGCGTCATCTTCTAAGAGCTTGGTTCTGAAGAGTGCATGCTATAGACCTATCACACGTGGAGCTTTATAAAATGGTGGGTCCCTAAGACAGTGGTAGCTTTTGTTATGTCAGATGATGCCTAATTTCTTTTGTAACTTGAGGAGCTGTGAATAATAGCGTATTGCTTTCTTGAATATCAGAGGAAAGAATGGGCGAGTGATTTGAGACTATAACTCAGCACTAGCCTTCAACACCACAAACACTGTCATCGTTATAATTGTTGGTTTTTACAGGGTCGCGGAATGCCACTAATGCGACCCCCTGGCCATTCCAATGTGTGTGTCTGGTCGACTTCCGTACCTCTATTCCGTGTACGCTGTATGTCCAGACGTTAAAACCCATGCCGTCCCTATCTCCAGATCAGCTCCATCCGTGTCCTCACGTGCTGGGATCGTCCAGACGTCTGGAGGCGATATTTCCCGGATATTTCCCAGATATTTCCCAGATATTTTCCACTTTCAGCTCTGCTGCGTCTGTGTCTACTCGCGCTGGCGTCGTGGGCGGCGGCCGCCGCCGAATACGAGGGCGGCGGCGACTCGAACCCGTACGGCACCGACGCGGAGCTCGAGCCGGGCGACGACCTGCTGGTGGAGACGCACGAGGGCCTGCTGGAGGGCGTGACGCTGACGGCCGGCTCCGGCCGCCTGGTGGACGCATGGCTGGGCGTGCCATTCGCGCAGCCGCCAGTCGGGCCGCTGCGTTTCCGGCCGCCGGTGCCGGCCGCGTCGTGGGAGGGCGTACGGCCGGCGCAGCGCCAGCCCAACTCCTGCTGGCAGGTGCTCGACGAGTTCTTCGGCGACTTCGACGGCGCCACCATGTGGAACGCCAACACACCGCGCAGCGAGGATTGCCTGTACCTGAGCGTGACGCGGCCAAGACCGCGGCCTTCGCGGCCGGCACCTGTGCTCGTCTGGATCTACGGCGGCGGCTTCTACAGCGGCACGGCCACGCTGGACGTCTACGAGCCAAGCGTGCTGGCGGCGGAGGGCGGCGTCATCGTCGTGGCGATCCAGTACCGCGTCGCTTCGCTCGGCTTCCTGCAGCTGGACGCGGCGCCGGGCAACGTCGGCCTGCTGGACCAGGTGCTGGCGTTGCGCTGGGTGCAGCGCAACATCGCCCGCTTCGGCGGCGACCCGGAGCGTGTCACGCTCTTCGGCAACTCGGCCGGCGCGGTCAGCGTCAGCATGCACCTGCTGTCGCCGCTGTCGGCGCCGCTCTTCCGGCGCGCCGTGCTGCAGTCGGGCTCGGCCACCAACCCGTGGGCGGTGTTGAGCGCGGAGGAGGCGCGCCGCCGCGCGCTACGGCTGGCCGAGGAGGTCGACTGTCCGCGTGCGCCGGCGGCGCGCGCGCTCGCCTGCCTCCGCCAGACGAGTGCCGAGGCGCCTGGTGAACGCCGAGTTCTTCACCACCGGCATCTGCGAGTTCCCGTTCGTGCCGGTGGTGGACGGCGAGTTTCTCCCCGAGGACCCGGCCGAGGCGCTCGCCGCCGGCCGCTTCAAGCGCGCCGAGCTCCTGGCCGGCAGCGTCGCCGAGGAGGGCAACTACTTTCTGCTGTACTACCTCGCCGAGTACGCCAACCTGACGGTGGTGCCGAGCCCGAGCCGGGCCGACTTCACGCGGCACGTGGCCGCCCTGCTGCCGCGGCTCTCCGAGCCGGCGCGGCTCGCCGTCAGCCACGAGTACACCGACTGGACGCGGCCGTACGCGCCGGCCACACTCCGCGACGGCCTCGACAAGCTAGTCGGCGACCGCCAGTTCGCCTGCGGCGTCAACGATTTCGCGGCGGCGTACGCGCGCGAGGGCGGCGCCGTGTTCGTCTATCAGCTGCGCCAGCGCGCGCCCGGCTCGCTCTGGCCCCAGTGGACGGGCGTGCTGCACGGAGACGAGGTGGCGTACGTGTTCGGCTTGCCGCTTCGCGCCGGCGGGAGCTTCAGCCGCGAGGAGGTCACGCTGTCCAAAAGGATGATCGGTTACTGGACTAACTTCGCCAAGACCGGGTGAGGAACTGGGACGTGCTGGTGGTGTGTGCAAGCAACCCAGGCGGCTGTCGCGCCCTTAAAACTCAATAACAACGATGCGTTGGAGGCGCTCCATTGCCTGTGGTGGTCTACTGATACGCTTGACCAGGACAATGCCTGCGAAATTAGTTCGTCACACGCATGAAGCTTGCCGTGTTTTGTGATATCAAATCGCTTAGTCGAAACGCTTGGGGACTAATGCACTTGTCCAGCGCCCTGCAGTGCTGCCTCTGTCGACACACAAGCTCCAGTTTTCGACCGCCCAAGGTTCCCATCGCACAAGCTGACTCTGGTCACGATGAAGTGGTGCAATGCGCGTGCAGGTCCTTAGGTTCCCCGCGCTGAGTTAGCGGCCTGCAGCTTTTGTAGTGTTGCAATGATCCCTTGAATGCAGGGGTGAACCAGGAATTTCCTTCAAGGGCCCGAAACTGGGTGCTAACGCACCGCGCAGATCTCGGCTTTCCATCAGGGTCCATCTAAGGTAAAAAAATAATAAAAGAGGAGTTAAGCCGCCATCCGACATGCCTCCCCATTGTGAGCGCCCCTGTTTGGATGCATTCAGTAGCGCGCACCATGCGGATCTGCAGCTGCCGCACCACTCCCTGTCGACCCCTCTCACCTCTCCCCTGAGCCGGAGCGCACTCTCACCCGCCCTCTTACCCACTCCGCCGGCAGGGACCCGAACCAGTCAGGTGACCAATGCGCCCTGGACGGAGGCGCCTCGGCCGACTGGCCCCTGTACGAGCCGAGCGGCCAGCGGTACCTGGTGCTGGCGGCCAACACGCGCGCCACCGGCCGCGGCCTGCGGGCCCGCCAGTGCGCGCTGTGGTCCAACCTCGTGCCGCCACTCAACAGCACGGCCTTCGGTCTAAGCGCGTAGCGGTCTGGTGGCTCTGGTGGCTCGGTCTGGTCGTCTGGTGTGGTGGCTCGGGTCACCAGGGCGACGGTGTAGCTGACGTCTGTCCCCCACTGGTCCGTAGGGCGGCGGTGTAGCCGACGTCTGACCCTCACTGGTCCCTGGGGTGGTGATGGAGCCGACGTCTGATTCTCACCGGTCTGTAGGGCGACGGTGTAGCCGACGTCTGACCCTCACAGGTCCCTGGGGCGGCGGTGTAGCCGACGTCTGACCCTCACCGTCCCTGGGACGGTGGTGTAGCCGACGTCTGACCCTCACCGGTCCCTGGGGTGGCGGTGTAGCCGACGTCTGACCCTCACAGGTCCCTGGGGTGGAGGTGTAGCCGACGTCTGACCCTCACCGGTCCCTGGGGTGGTGATGGAGCCGACGTCTGATTCTCACCGGTCTGTAGGGCGACGGTGTAGCCGACGTCTGACCCTCACAGGTCCCTGGGGCGGCGGTGTAGCCGACGTCTGACCCTCACCGGTCCCTGGGGTGGTGGTGTAGCCGACGTCTGACCCTCACAGGTCCCTGGGGCGGTGGTGTAGCCGACGTCTGACCCTCACCGGTCCCTGGGGTGGTGATGGAGCCGACGTCTGATTCTCACCGGTCTGTAGGGCGACGGTGTAGCCGACGTCTGACCCTCACAGGTCCCTGGGACGGTGGTGTAGCCGACGTCTGATCCTCACTGGTCCCTGGGGCGGCGGTGTAGCCGACGTCTGACCCTCACAGGTCCCTGGGGCGGTGGTGTAGCCGATGTCTGACCCTCACCGGTCCCTGGAGTGGCGGTGGAGCCGACGTCTGATCCTCACCGGTCTGTAGGGGCGACGGTGGAGCTGACATCTGACCCTCATCGGTGTCCTCACCCCCTAGGATGAGCCCAGCAGCGGCAATGCAGCTAGCGGCGGTGTCCCGCTGGAGCGGCCGGGCATGGTCGGCCTCCGCGCACAAGATCATGGTTGTGTCGTTGAACTCTCTCTGGATATGTGTTCTCCGTAGCCGGACTGGCATTGGGTCTGTGTTCTCTGTGTTCGTACCACCCATGAGCCCGCGATCTATAGTTTGTCCCCGCCGGACACGATCGTCCCATTGCCAAGTCTCAATGGGCGCAGATCGGACTGACCTAGCCGTTCGCATGGCCACCTTGCACGATCACGGGGACGGACGGAGGGCTCACCTGTCCTCTGCACCGAAGTAGTGCAGATGACATGCTAGCGCACACATGTTGGCTCAAAACACACTCAGGTACTGGCTTTGGAAATATGTGACGTATTCAACGTGATGTGCATTATGACGCGACAATACATGGGGTGACGTCATAGACAATTCGAAATGTGTGGTGCTTACCATTGAGGCGGCACCAATACTAATGCTCACAAACAGCCCTCGCGAGTCAAACATTGGGCTGGAGGCAGTCGAGCACAATGAGAGCACCACATTTTAATACGGGATTATTGGTGGCTCCACGAGAAAAGCTATTTGGCCACGGCAACTATCGAGTTCTCAAGTTCTCAACTATCAAGCTCAAGTTCTCTTCAAACACATTAGTAACTCGCCATGGGAGCAGCCAATATTTTAGGAACAATGATGCATATGTGCACGGAGGACGAACGTGTCACGTGTCTGGTAGTGAACCAATCGTCATGCGCTCCGTTTCATCGGCGCATGCGTGGTCTGGCTGCTCGTTGTTTGCTGCGAGCTAATTTGAAACCCGCTTATCAAGATCGCAGCCGGGATGCTGACAGTTCATTGGTCCGTTCGAGTGATCCCTGTGACTGCCGATACCAGCTTTTTTGCCGATTATCTGCCTCACCCGCCTGCACCTAGCCAATGGCTTATCTGCAGGGCTTCGTGGAGACCGCCAGCGAGTCACTTAAAGCGGGTTTTGCACAGCTTGATGCGCTCGAAGGAACAATATTGCAGCTCGCTCTGAAAGACTGAGTCACAACAGCCCGCACTGGGAACGGCGGGGGGGGGGGGGGGCAGAATCTGTCCATCTCCTGCTTTTTGTGGCGTTTTCCACTAACATACACTGAACTGATCTGAATCGGCTTGGCCATATGTGTTTTATGCGGACCACCGCGCGGCACCGTGTGCCAGACAGTATGATAGTGGAGTTCAGATTATTGATTATTTTGATATATCTTTCAAGGCAGTGGCTGCCTTAAATCATGCTTTTTCCAGTGAACCTTGGTAACCCATGACTATAAATACAGGCTCGAGACGTTGAGTTTTGTCGGCATTAGCAGAGCTCGCCTCATCAATTTGTTTAACCTGTACTTTCTGGCAAACTGAAGGTCGATTATTTTCATCACGCGGCTGCTTAACCCACAACAGTTCTCTGAAATCACGGCACGAACGAATGGCGTTTGTGAGTGCGAGTACATTCTCTTCAACTTGTCGACGATGCAGCCACTCCGTTGTAGGTGGGCCACATCAGCAAGATTTGCCGCATATCTCTCGTACTCTGTGCGATCTATTCGATCTCGCTTGCGGTTGCAGCGATTTTTAAAATTAAAACGACCATAATGGAATCCAGTAGAATCGTCACAAGCATGAAAAGCACTCACTACGAACATCCTAGCCCTAATATTTTATTAATCAAAAGCAAATAAACTCCCACCTTATGGATTTATACAACTATGCGACAATAGAAAATAGCTGTCGGCTCATTTTTGTTTCTTGCTTTTTTCCACTTATGAGAAACTGCTTCACGGCAAATATGTTTGCGCTTCTCGCAGTCTTTGCCTGAAGCGTGTGGTAATACCACAGACGTAGTCGGACGCGAGCTGCTGGCAGAAAAAGCGACTTTCTCACTGTGTGTGCGCGTGAGGGGGGGGGGGAGAGATTTGGCCACTCGCTGTGCCAATCACAACTGTTCATTGGCGCTGACGATATTCATACCAGTAGTAGTGTCACTTTTAAGCCCACAAGCCACCAACGCTTGAGTTAAAAAAGCCCAAAAGTGGTACCTTTAGTTCACTAGAGATGACGACGGGCCACAGCAGATTCTGGCATAGTCAGGTTCGCGAGGTACGCTACAAAAACTTTGAGGCTACAAGGAAAGAAAGGAATGTAACGCTGTGCCAAAACATTGACAGCGGTATTGTATTCGGAGTCACACCGCTGCTGGCCACTCCACACAAAACGGCGAACTGCCGCACGCAACGCCGACAGGGAGACTCACTCTACACGCCCCGAGCAGCACCTTTTATACCCCTTTCAAGCCCACCCGCGACACCCGCAACAACAGGATGTCCGCCGATTCCGTCCCAGTCGCCGCTGGTGCGTGCTCCGCGTTGTCCAGGTTGTCAACGACTGCACCAGAGGCCTCCTGGTGTGACCGGCCCGCGGCCAGGCATAGGGGTCCGTCGTCCTCCTTGTCACTGGTGTCACAGCGTGATGCATCGCTATACCGAGGCCGCAGGTCCCGCACGTACCACGGTACGCCGTCCACCTCGGCCACCTGCGATGACACGATCCGCGTGACGGCGCCTGACGAGATGTTGCCGTACATCGGGGGTGGCGTCCAGCTTTGCCATGTTGATGCGATCTGCGGCAGATCCCTCAGGTGGCATCCAACAGCCATCTTCCATCACGCCGCCGTCCGGCGTCTCGACGACGCCACCGGCCGCGATCGAGCTGGCGTCGGTCCAAACGATCGCGCAGTCTCCGGCTCAGCACCACCGGCCGCGCGCCGGGTCTACAGCTGACAGGCGCTCACACACGTGTCCGATCTGGGCGTGCAGGATCTCGTCATCCGCGACGTCATCCCAGCCGTCGGTCGCTGCGTTTGCACGCCTTTTCAGCCACGCAGCGGCTGGCTGTGGCCGGCTGCTGCCCCACAGGCCTCGGGAGGCCTACCCGTCGCTACACCGGCCCGCGAGAGACATCTCCACCGCCCCACCGGCCACGGGAGGCTGCTCCACCGCTCCACCGGCCGCGGGAGGCTGCTCCACAGCCCCACCGGCCGTGGGAGGCTGTTCCACCGCTCCACCGGCCGTGGGAGGCTGTTCCACCGCTCCACCGGCCGCGGGAGGCTGATCCACCGTTCCACCGACCGCGGGAGGCTGCTCCACCGCTCCACCGACCGCGGGAGGCTGCTCCACCGCTTCACCGGCCGCGGGAGGCTGCTCCACCGCTTCACCGCCATCTGCAGCACTAACGCTGGCGCCCGTCCACTTCCAGGCGACCGTCTACGCCTGCTGCTCGCCGCTAAACCTTGCCGTAAAGCTGGCTGCATCTATCTCCATGCCTCCTGGGTCACATCTGCCGCCGCACAGAACCGCACGTCTGTCGGCGTCCGCACGCTGATACCTCCCAGTGCAGTGATGCTATTCATGCCGAGCACGACGTCAACACCCAGCGGTCGGTCGGGCACTACCAGGACCTCGAGCATCGCTCGACGGTCGCTGGCGGCCGTCCACTTCCAGACGACCGTCCACACCTGCTGCCCACCGCTAAATCTCGCCGAAATAGCTTGTATTCGGAGTCACATCGCGGCTGGATGTAGAGTGAGTCTCGTCGTGTCGTGTCGGCGTCGTGTGCGGCAGTTCGCCGTTGTGTGTGGAATGGTCTAGCCGCGATGTGACTCGAATTCACGCCCCGAACAGCACCTCTTATGCTCCTTTCAAGCCCACCCGCAACAAGATCGGCCCGCGACTCGCCGGCACCACCGCGTCCCACCCCACCGCGTCCGCGGGCTAACGCATCGCCTCTGAGCCGTGACCGTTTCCCTATGCTAGCACTGTCCTGGGGCGTGATCTATTAGCACATATGGTCCACCGTTGCAGGTATTTGAAGTCGAAAGTAATTAGATTATTTTTGGTGCTGCAGTCGTGGTACTACCCAGGATAGTCCTTAGACGTAACTGATCTTAAGGTTTCAACAATGTGTTTTTGAAATATGCCCAAAAGGCGGGGCGCTCCCTTTCAACTCAGCTTTCAGTGAAAATTTTGGGGTGTGCGTTCTCGATTCTGCAATCCTGCGTACGACCTTGCGTATACTACTAGTTGAACTCATCTGGAGACAGAATACTGGCTGGGCGTTTTGATCAAATGAACGTGAGTACGGCAGACCACATTTCATGGAGGCAGGC